AATAGACTTGAGATCAGGAGTCAGCAACCTTTTTCTATAAAAGGCTAGATACAAATATTTTAGATTTTGAGGGCCAGTCAATGTTTGTCAGAACTACTTAACTCTGCCATTGTAGTGTGAAACAGCCATAGACAATATGTAAATAATGAGCATTACTGTGTTCCAAAAAAACTTACTTTTACAGAAACAGGTGGCCAGGCCAGATTTTGCCCGCAGATCATAGTTTGCTGACTCCTGCCCTGGATGTTATCTAACCAGTGCAGAACCTAGTTGATTATATCTTCACTTGTGAATGCTGTTCTTGCATTAATGTATTTTTAAGATTATATTCAAATATTCTGAGGGGAAGTTATTTTTACACACACACCCCCTTTGGCTTCTTTCAAAATTTTGTCTTCATCTTTTATTTTTCTGAAGTTTAAATGTGATATGCCTGGGTGTAATTTTGTTTTAATATTTTTCCTGCTCTGTGTTCCCTGAGTTTTCTGGATTTGTGGTTTGGTGTCTGACATTAATTTGAGGACTTTTTAGTCATTATTGCTTCAAATATTGCTTCTGTTCCTTCTCTTCCTTCTTCTGGTATTTCCATTACATACGTTGCATGTATATTTTACCTTTTGTAGTTGTTTCCATTGTTCTTAGATACTCTGTTCTATTTCCATCACTTTTTTCTCTTTGCTTTTCAGTTTTAGAAGTTTCTCTTGACTATCAGATTTTTACATCTCAGCCATGTCCAGTCTACTAATGAGTCCATCAAAGGCATTTGTCATTTCTTTTACAGTGTTTTTGATCTTTTGAGCTCTAGAATTTCTTTTTGATTATTTCTTAGACTTTCTCTCTGCTTACAATATCAGAGAAGAATCGCCGATATTCAATGTGAGAGCCTGTTAGAGCTCCTGGAACTAAAACTCACAAAAGTCTGGGGACCCCCCTCCCCTCCCGTGACTTGGTTCCTCTGGAGTTTTTAATTCTCAGAGTTGTCTACACTGAGTCTCCAGCAATTTGTCAATTACAGTTCAGGTTTTCCTATCCCAGTACTGGTTCCCATGGAGGTTTTTCTGCTCTGCTAAGTTGTGATTCTTTGTCTTTCTGTCTTAACAATTTTGAGGGCAGTGGTTTGCCCTGTGACTTCATTTTCTGATGGATCTTAGAATTTCTGATTTCTCAATTTGTTCAGGTTTTTACTTGGTGTTAAGATGGAGTGGCAACTTCTAAACTCCTTAAATGATGGACCAGAAACTGGAAGAATTCACATAGCTTTCTCTGATGTTTTCTTCTAGAAGTTTTACATTTTTCGTTTAGGTCTTTAATTCATTATGACTTAATTTTTGTATCAGATGTGAGGTATGGCTCAAGATTGATTTTTTTTCTTTTTGAATAAGGATATCCAATTTTTTGTGGACTATTATTTCTCCATTAAATACTTTTGCTTTTTTATCAAAAATTACTTGACCATACATGTGTGGGCATAGTTTTGAACTCTGTTCTATTCTTCTGCCTGTCTATATCCTTTCTCCAATACCACAACTGAACTGATTATTGTAGCTTTGCAGTAAATCTGGAAGTGAGTCCTGTGAGACCTACTTTGTTTTTGGTTTGACTTTTCTTTGCTTCCCTGTATAAATTTTAGAACCTCATGTCAATTTCTATAAAAAGAAAAATCTTGCTAGATTTTGTTTGGAACTGTATTGAATCTGTAGAGCAGTTTGGGGGAAATTATAGAGCACTTTGGGAAAACATCTTTAAAATATTGAGTTCAATTTATTCAGTGAATATGGAATATCTGTCAGTTTGATTAGGTCATCTTTTATTTCCTTCATCAATGTTTTGTAGTTTTTGCATAGAGATCTTACACATTTTTTAAAAGATTTATACCCAAATAGTTCATATTTTGGGGTGTTATCATAAATGTATGATTTTTAAATTGCAATTTCTAATTTTTTTTTTAAGATTTTTATTGGGGAATTGGGGGGATGGGAACAGTGCTGGGGAATTGGAGGAAGGGGAACAGACAAGTTGCTGTCGTTTTGTTCTTCAGTCTAGTTGTGGAGGACGTTGCTTCACTGGCCCAGGTTGGCACCAT